TCCAGAAGAAAGAGAGAGAACACTTGAGGGGCCCCAGTAAAGAATAAAAACAAAGATGGAAAATTTACTGGATTTGGAGCTGATTAGTTATCTGTGGAGTTAACGCTAAAGGATAGGCATATTTCTGTAATATGAAGAGTTATTGTCTTTCTGTGTATTTAAATAGAATGGACCGTCTACTAAATCAAGTTTTTAAATCAAGAAACCCAAGGATAGTTTGTGGTAGTCACCTCGTCTGTGATTGATTTCATAACAAGAATTGTGTTGTATTAGCAAAGTCGATACAATATCGTTGGAGGGTAACTACAGTTACTATGCTTCGTCTTAGTGGTCGCCGCGAATCTGGAAAACGATTTTGGTTTGTTAAGTATTAATTAATACGATACAATCCTCTAGTATGCATCACTTCATCCTTAGTCCAAGGGTTTAAAAAAATGGTAACTCATGAACATTTAAAGATGGTCATAATTACAGTTCTACAGAGGCTACTAATTTTGTATATTTGAAATCAATATTTGCTAAATATATTTTATTTAACATTACTTTACATTACACATTTTATTAAGCGCAAAAAATGACATGCAATTTCAAAAATAAATACTGATTATAATAATTGATCTCCTTTTGAGTGGCGGAAGGTACAAAAGGACTATTATTAACCAATGATCACCCATAGAATTTTCTCAGATTCTCCCTTCTACCTCGAATGTTTCAGTCAAGTATACGGTGTTTGGTGAAATTTGTTTCCATAATGAAGCTGTATATATACTAACTTTTTGTCTACAGTCTCCTTGAACAGATAGAAACAGAATAAGCTTGTAATAAAACTAAATTTTATTCAATTTTTAATTTTTCCATACCACGTAAATTCAACTCATGGTTACACACATTATCTGAAGCTCCTATCTGAAAAATATTGAAACGCAATTGTTGAATCAATCAACTTCGATTACATGAAACACGGAACTGATGGAACATAGTAAGTCATTAGTTGCTTGGTATGGGTGAGCAACAGTGAAATTTTGTTCCAATGTTTGCTTCCAATTCTTGCAAGAAAGTTTTCATACATTTTAGTTTGCTCTAGGTGAACGGAAGCGACTCACTTGGATCGTGCTCATTCGGCAAGCGTGTTCCGAGTAGGCGTACGACTCGGATCCGTACAACTGAATAGTCATAGGCGTGTCCGGTGAGCATCGTCCATACGGAGGTGTCTTTTGCGTATGTTTGATTGTTTTGACTTTGATCTCTGTCAAACTACCCGGTTGGATATTGATACCCTCCTGATTGACGTCCGGATAGGTGTCTGCGTTGTGTACCACCACCACGGCCCCACTTAACTGGGATTTTATTTCCGAACTGAAACAATCCAGACAGGCGGTCTGATTCATTGGTCCGTCCAGATAGACAAACAATTCAATGGTGCGCACGTGATCTCGGTACGCTTCGTACAGGTCGTATGTGTAGCAATTTAAATATTGTGCGTGAATGAATTGGCGCCAACGACCAACTTGCTCGCAGTCATTCAAAACACGCTTGCTTCCTTCGGTGTGCAAAACCTGATCGGGTAGGAAACAGCATGCTCAGCTCATATAGTTGTTATCAAATGGGGTTTTAAGTAGTGGTTAAGCAAGACAGACTTACGTGAGCCATGACGACGAGCATTTAAACTGGGATAATAAAAGAAATGCGGACCGTTAAAGGATCGTAAAGCGGTTTACATAAGAAGTTGTCGCTATCGATTGAATTCTCCATTCAGTGAGGGTCACAGAGCATTGTCTTCTCAGACTTTTTTTAAAGTATCTGAGGCATAGACTAGTTAACTGCACTGCGGTTGCTTTTCTATTTTAGCTGGTCACAGACTGATACCTTCTGACTTATAACGAGCATTTGCTGAGGCTAAGCCCCCAATATGCCGTGTTTACATACACACACAGGAGAAATTAAAAAAATTATTTTGTTCAGTATTCATTTTACTTATTAAGATCTGAATGAAAGCGCAAAAGAAGGTGAGTTTTCATTGGATTGTAAAAATCGACTTACCAAAATAACAAAAACAAATGGTTTAAAGTTTACGTGAACTTCAAGCCAACCAGGGAATTCGTCCCCAAAAGTCTTGGAGTTGATTAAATTGTTTCCCTAGACTAAATGAAACTTGAATGGATTTCAAAGAAAACAGAGAACAGATGCTTCTTTCTATCCTTCAAACTGCCCTAGAATACCACTACTCGCATTGAAACTCTAGCCATGCGACAACAGAAAAACTGTTATTATGTACCAAGCATATATACCATTTAGAAGTGCTCAAATAATTGGAAATGTGATCAAATTATGAGAAATGGAGTAGACTATTATACTGAACAGACCAATCAGTACCAGTTTCATTGAGGAAGAATGAAAAACAAACAAAAACGCTATCAACATCATGTGATATTCCGTACTTCTCTGGTGCAATGAATTTGCTTTGACGATTAATTGACAGACAATGTGCGAAGTAATATCATTGGTGAGTTTGATTCCCGGTCAAATCGTTTGAGATAGGGTGGGTGAGATCAGTGTTAGTGGTGTGTTTCTGGATTAGAAAATTGTCACTTGGAGCCATTTTTGGTGATAAAACGGTTCTTTATCACTCTAATTAAATCACTGCCCTTAGGCTGTTAGTTTTCACAGCTGGAAATCTAGTCACTAGTAATGATTGAGTTCAGAATAGTTTGGAACAAAAGGACAATAGTCTAATTCGGTTCGAATTAGTCGTCGTATATTGT